CAACTGTCCATTCATGAAATGTTCCATCACCACGTAATTCAATTGAACCTGTTGTTATACCACCTAATGGGATAGCTGATCTTAGTCCACTAGATGGATGATTATATGGAAATGTACGATTCATCGTTGCAGATATAATATCTCGATTAGGAACGGATGCTGGTATATAGGTTTTCAAATAACAACATGGTTGTCCTTTTCTACAACCATTAAAATCTGATGGTGCTGAGGAAGAAAATGACCATGCAGTACATGACATATACATACAACATAATGTATTACAATCAGATGGATCAGTTGATGGTGGTATCATTGATAAAAAATCAGCACCCGGTAAATCAGTACCTAATAAGAATGGATTTGAATTACATTGTAAAGGTTTTGTTGGATCTTTTTTATATAAATATGGTCGAACAACTTCTTCTACCCATGCAAATTTTTCTCGTGTTACATTTTCTGGTTCTGTATAGAATGTAAATTCATATTGATATTCATAAATATCGGATTTTGATATTGTACCTTCATTTAAAAATCTAAATGAATTTAATAATTCATAAACCGTTTGACAAGAAATAATTGGAATAAAAACACATGCTAAAATACTTGAATAAATGAATAACATTATGAACTTGATAATTATTCAATAATAAATAGAGTATATAGTAAATATTTACATGAAATATGATTATTCAGATGAAATTAAAAAGTTTCTAAAAACATACATATATAATTATTTATGAAATAAATGTAGATCGAATTGCCTCATTCAAGCTTCTAACATAAGTGAGGATAATTTTCATATTTTTGTATAATTTAACTCGTTCAAATATGAGAATCGATATGTGTACTTTTAAAAATTTAACGTATATTGGAGCCAAGACATTACAAAAAATGTGACTCTAACTGGTTCAAAATAATTTTATAGTCAATTTTTACAAATTGACAAGAGATAAATCTAAAAGTTCTTTCTATTCTTATGTCCTTCAATAGATTGCAGAGATATACAGGATGTCCGGAAAGTCATTTAACAAAATTTTTTTCGTATATCTTTACTGTTTCATTTAGTATTATCAACAAATTTTGTTTTAAATTGTAGGCAAATATACCGAGTTTTTATTTATCCGAACGACTTTCAATAGTATCCTGTAAAACTATTATCTTTGATCGAAATACAAAAATTTTTCTATTTTTGTGAGATGCGAGTAATTCAAAATTTGATGATGTTTTTTCTTTATTATTTTCATATGGTTAGATAGAGCTTCTCGAGTTCTACAATAATATGTACATTGAAAATTTTTTACACCTTTTCTTTGAAGCAAAATTTACAGATAGCTACTACAGAAAGACTAAATAGTTAAAGAAAAAACGCTGCATAATGTTCTATTTGCATCTCACAAAAATAGTAAAGTTTTTGTATTTCGATCAAAGATAATAGTTTCACAGGACACTATCGAAAGTCGCTCGGATAAATAAAAAGCCGCTATATTCACCTATGATTTTAAAAAAAATTTGTTGTTGATGTTAAATGAAACAGTAAAGATATACGAAAAAACTTTTGTTAAATGACTTTCCGGACACCCTGTATATTACACATGATAGTTTCAAACTGATCGATCACTACTTTCAAATTTTGAAAAATATTGTATAATATATAATATATATTTTTTACTTTTTATACCTTTACTTCGTTGAGAATCAAAACTGACTCTCTCACGCGTTTATTTTACAACCCATAATTTTATCTTACAAAAAAAATTTTATAGGTTTACGTAAGAAGACAAATCTATTTTTTAATTTCTATAAACATCTGTATATACATTCATACGTACAGGTATTTTTCTTTTTCTTTTTCACATAGATTTAAAATATAATAGCGAGACGGAGGAAGAAGACAAATAGTCGATAAGTCCTATGAGTATCATTTTCTTGCCGTCCCACTATCCTATTTTAAATCTGTCTGAAAAAGAATAAGAAAGATATGTGTACGTGTGAATGTACAGGATAGGCCAAGCGTAACAGGACAAATAATTGTTTTCGATTTCTTTTCTTTAAACATTGACAGTTACATCTCATATTTAGACCACATATAATAGGTGATACTAGTCAGAGATAGATGTAGGATATAATCGGCCTCTGGATGTAGTAATTTGTTCCAAAGCATATAGATATGTCTTAATTGCTCTTTGTGATTATATGAAAAATTCGATGTTTTTCGTGTTACATTCGATTTTCATACTCTTATTTACTTATCCCAAACTGAGAAACAAATTCAATTCGGTTGAATTTGTATTCTTTTAGTTTAAAGAAGTTCAAAATCTAATGAAATCGAATTTCTCATATAGTCACATACGAGCAAGTAAGACATATTTTTATATACGTTGCAACAAATTATTACGCCCAGAGGCTGATCATATGCAACATCGTTGACTAATATCATCTATTATATGTGGTCTAGATATGAGATGTAACTGTCAATGTTTAAAGAAAAGAAATCGAAAAAAATCATTTGTTCTGTTACTTTTGACCCATCTTGATATGTATAGATATTTATAAACATAAAAATAAAATAGTCTGAAGAAGGCAATGTCGTTGTCGAAGCGTAATTGGAAAACAAGAAAAATAAATAAATAAATATACAGATCGACTACCAGGAAGAGAATATGTAAAAATTAAATTAAGTATAAATGATTAAAAAAATATAATGACTTTCGTTAAATACAAAAACAAGTAACAAGACAAAAGAATTTAACTGTTTTTGTCAAATTTATTGAAAAAGTACTCGCGAAAACAAACAATCGTTAAGGTTTGAACTGTAAATAGACTTTTAATAAATCAAAAAGTCGAGAGAAACATAACTATGAAATTTTTCATTTCTGGATGCATGAGCATTTGACATAACTCGTGTACAATTAATAATATTAATGTTTTGAATGGATCTGAATTATCCAATGGATAGAATTAATAAATCATTGAGCATCAAAACTTATCTAGACTATCATTTTCATTATTAGTCTAATAGTAATACAAGCTGTATCAAAAGCTCGTGTATAGAGAAATGAAAAATTTCATGCATAGTTTTTAATTGGTTTTTCAAGAAATTATTTATGTTTTAACCATACACTACCAATCTGATGTGTTATATAGAACTTGCTGAGCATTAAAAAAGTTTGAAAAAAAAGGGCTTTCATGTCTTATAATGTTTTTAGCAAAGTCATACGTTTCATATTAGGCTCATTCGAATCAAATCGTTCAAATATTTTTGTTTTTGAACATTGGCGATGAAAGATCGGCTTTCTATATAAAAGATCTGAAGCAAATATAGTTAGAATATCGGTTTTCAAGATGGATTTGTGGTGAACCTAGCTGTTATGTTGAAAAAGCACACTATAACTTCGTTATTTCAAGAACAATTCTGATGGACTCTTTCGTTACTCATTATAACATCGAAATAATTAGTGTTATTCTAGTCTAATGATTTTGATAATCTATGTAGATTATTTTTTCTACAATTTAAACAATCATTTTTAATGCGACAACATAATGTTTTAGAAAATCTGTTAAGTTTCCTAGATCGTTTGGTCGAAATAACCTTTTTCCACATTGCATTGACAACCATGCTCATGTGAATATACCATAAAGTGATTCAAACTAATGTACGTACCATCTATTATTTCTATATTTTGATACAATTATTACAACAGGAGATGAAGGGTTGTCGGTCTACACTGATAGACTAGCCACAGAAAAATAACACAATGTATAGAAAGGAAAAGAAGAAAAAAAGCAAAACATGTAGTGATGATATCAGGAGTGACTACCAGCAACGGTGTGCCCGTCAATGCAACCGACACAGTTATCTTCTTGAAAACAGCGAAAAAAATTTAACGAAACAAAACAATAGACGACAAAGACATGTGATGTAATTGATATCTTGATAAGATAGAAACATAGGAAAAAGAAGTCAGGTAGTATATATATATATATTAATGGGGAACCCAAAGGAGACAACAAAGACGTGGTAGTTTTTTGTTTTCACATGTGATTTTTTTGTCAAGAGTCGTTCTTTGTTTAACATTGATAAAGAAGCAGAAATTATTAAAAATAAGTTTATCACTGATAATTACCAGTTTTGATCTACATACTTCTTTCCATTAAAATCATTTTTTCATCTTAACTATAATTTCTTGCTTGAATTCCGTTATTAACTTTATCTTTACTTATTTAAGCATATATCGAACAAGATCATGTACATATTTACAGCAATGATAATGAATATGAAAGAATACATATGATAGCGGAAAACCGGACCTTGGACTATGGAGCCAATTACACTTTCTTATAATATCTGTTGAATTTCGTTCTATCAAAAGCTGTTTTATATTTTGATTGGAACATATTCATGATGAACACTCATCCTAAATTTCTGTTTCTTTTCTAAGGATTTCATATGATTGAAATACTCGTCTCACTCTTCAGGTTTAATCATCAAGTAAATATTATATTTCGTTCGAGAGTTAGCTTTGAGTATTTCTAGTTATGAACATAATCGATATCAAAACAATTGTGTGAGTGTTGGGTGCTAGTGCAAGTATGGGTACGGGTGCGAGTGTGGATAAGTGTGCGTGTCACTATTCTTTTCTTAGCAGCCATCTACCACTCCTACCA